GGGGCAGTCAGGGGACAGGTAGGGGGTAGGGTCCTAGGGGGGCAGTCAGGGGACAAGGAGCAGGGGGGTTGGGGGTTCTGAGGGTGGCAGTCAGGAGGCAGGAAGTAGGAGGGAATGGATGGGGCGGGGCTAGGGCGGGGCTCCCTGGGTGCACACCCTAATGAAATGGGCTGCGCACGCCTATGGCTTTATGTCTATACTGCCCACGTTACAGCGCGGCCACAGCAGCATTGTGACGTGGGCAGTGTAGACATGCTTCATCGCCGGCGATAAAGAAAAAACACCCCAAATGAACGGTGGTAGCTAAAGTGCTGTCTGTTCTGACGCTTTTCAGTGCTAAAACTTTTGTCTCAGGGGGATGTTTTTTCACACCCCTGAATGACTAAAGTTTTAGCGCTGAAAGTGGCAGTGTAGACACAGCCTACGTTTACACAGAGCTCTTCTTCCGGCCTGGGAAAGGTACTCCCAGTGGCACAGCTAAATGCAAGATGGAACAGATTGTTAAACACAGGGAGTTAACACATGTTAGAAGAAACCATTCAAGGTGAAGTGGGCAGTTGACACCGCAGCAGTCATAGAAAACACCTGAAAAACCTGGAACGGCAGCACCAGCAATTTCTTTGGAAGTTCCTCAACATAAAGTGGGAGGATCGTTGCACTAATGTCTGTGTCCTCACAGAGGTCAACATCTTCAGTGTTGAGGCCCTGATTATCCAGCACTAGCTGAGGTGGAACAGGTACTGTGGGCGCATGCCTGATGTACGCGTCCTAAAACAACCGCTGTATACCCAGCTCACCAAAGGATAAAGGAAATGGGGAGGCCAAAAGAAATGCTTTAAAGACACCCTCAAGATAAACATCAAGAGATGTGGCATCCACACCACACACTGGGAGACAGCAACCCAGGATAGGGGAAAACTGGTGAAGACCTGTCAGAGAAGGAATGTCCACTTTTGAGGACAATCGCCTTGCCCTGGTCGCAGAAAAATGCCAGAAAAGAAAGGAAAGACAACAGTCACGTGGCAATCGCAGGCCAACCCTGTCTTCCAACACCACCTCCAATGTCTGCCTATGAGCCTGTGGCTCAAGGATCGGCCTCCTCGGCCACCAAACTTTTGTCTTTCGTGTGTGTGTGTGTGTGTTTTAACACCTCTGAACAACAAAAGTTTTGTCTTTCAGTTGCCAGTGTAGACCAAGCCTATGTCTTATAAGAATGTATTTAGTATTTAGAAATGCTTGTAAGTTGCTGCATGGCATTAATCTCCCTTGTAATATCTCTATTTCAGGCTTTAAGATAATATGTAAGTTTTGAAAATGTTTGCCCTAAACTTGTGAACCCAGGCATGGGAATCATTCCCCCATCCACTCAGAAGGATGATCAAAATCAGTTGGGCCATGAAGAATCTTTGCAATACAAAGGATTGGTTAGGGCCCTGTTGTACTTGGGAAAGACACTTTGAATAGACAGATCACTAAAACTCTGTCACTCTTAGGATTTAGAAGGTAACTCACTGCTGTGTGTATGTTTCCTTACTTTAACCTGTAAATAACTCTTATTTCTCTTTCTTAGTTAAAAAAAACAAACCTTTAGATAGTTTATTACAGGATTGGTTACAAGCGTCTTTGGTGTAAGATCTAGGATACCAATTGATCTGGGAGTAAGTGACTGATCTCTTGGGACTGGAAGCAGCCTGAACGTGGTGTGATTTTTGGTGAAAGTGACCAATTATTACTAAGT